TCGGCTGATCTCTGTGGTCCGTTGTTAGTGTTCTGGGGCCTCACATGAAACAGTTGTGCCCTTTCAACATGTGGTCTCTCACCATCCGGAAGGCTAGCCCAGGCTTCTTCACCGGGTAGTCTCGGGGTTCCCAGCAGCAAAAGAGGACAAGCCCAATGCGCAGGCACTTTTCAAGCCCCTGCATGCATCATATTTGCTAAGGAACCATTGGCCAGAGTAAGTCACATGACCAAACCCAGATTCAGAGGCTTTAGACATAAACTCCACCCCTTGAGGGGAGGAGCCGGAAAGTGTTGTGGCCTTTTTTTCCCAGTCTACTCTGACAGGTGTGAGTTTCTTGTTACACTTGGCAGGAGAAGCTGTTTGATTCTTTGGATCAATTGTGTAACTCTCAATGGAGCCAGGAAAAATGGAAGATCACAATGGAGCAATTTAAATTATGAAGACCCAGATAATTGTGGAGAGGTTGTTTCAGTTCTGCTCCAAATGAAAACTAAAGATAGTTCAGGGGAAAACAGTGCCACTTGTATTCGGGACATCAAGCTAAAGCAATTACTGCAGACATTGATACACCCAGTTCAAAACTCAGAGCTGAGTTCCCGCTCTCAAAGCAGCATTGTCTGATTTGCAGCAGTCAACACCTCTTCCTGCCGTTACTCATTTAAGACTAGATCAATGAGTAGTAAGCATAGCTGCTGTTAATTGGTGCCTAACTGTGCCAAGCACTTTATATCCATGAACCATTTGATCCCCTCAGTAGCCTTACAAAGTTCTGTCACTATCCCAGTTCTACAGATGAGCAAACTGAGGATCAGACAGGAAGTGACTTGCCCAAGGGCATCTATTTAGTAATAGAACCAGGAATTTTTAAAAATCCCTTGGGCCACGGGGGTCCCCTGACTATGGCACAGTAGCTATTGCATAGGCCCATGCGCACACAGCCCCTCCACAATCCTGGCCGTCCTAGGAATTTTTAAAAATCCCTTGGGCCACGGGGGTCCTGACTATGGCACAGTAGCTATTGCATAGACCCATGCGCACACAGCCCCTCCACAATCCTGGCCGTCCTTATGTTGATGTAATATTCTCTCGAGCATGCCAACCTTGGGGTCGGCTGCTTCCCAGAGTCCTTGCAGGCTCCGTATTGCTGGTCGAACTTTCCCATTCATCCAGGTTTATTGAGGATGGATTTGTGTCGGAATACTGAGTAGTTTTAGATATCAGAAGGCGGTGTTATCTTGCTCAATCTGGATAATTTGTAAAACCGGCTTGAGTATTTTCCAATATGAACTAAAATTAACAGCATTCATTTATTTGTGTCATAAAAATTTGCTTTTAAGCAATAATAGGAAGAGAATATTTGTGGATTCTCCCCCACCCCTGTTTTTTTTTAAGTTCTGTATTGAAATATAATAGATACTCAACACCACATATTTAAAGTGTACAATTTGATAAGTTCTCTCTCTCTCGCTCGCTCTCGCTCTCTCTCTCTCTCTCTCTCTCTCTCTCACACACACACACACACACACACA